AGCGGGCGCCTGGCGATGCGGATGCTTTCTGGGTGTGGCTGGGTTCGCGGCTCGGACCCCGCCGTGCTGAGCCGCCTGCGCGATGAGGCCGTGGTGCGGCCTGGCTTTCTGAGCCAGGCGGAGGAGGACACGCTGACACGTGAACTGGAGCCCCAGCTGCGGCGCCGGCGCTATGAGTACGACCACTGGGACGCGGTGAGTGGGCGTAGCCCAGGGGCGAGGACTATGAGGGCACGCCCACGGGGCGGGGCCGTCTAGTAGACGGTGAGCACTGGGGCGGAACTCGGTGGGCTCGGCCAAGCTAAGGCCAGTGTCCCGCGGCAGCATGTGACACACTGCTTTGGTGTGTGTCGTGGCGGGTACTTGGCAGCTCAGGAGGGACAAAGTTCGGAACACTAGGATCCGGACATCCTATGGGACAGGGCTAATCTTAATGCCAGAGCTGAGGAAGGGGGAAGGTCTGCAGCTGGGTGGTGTGGGTGGGACCTAGAGCAGCGGGGGCCTGAGCCAAGAAGGTGAGCCGGGCGTGTTGAGCCCAGGGGGATAGAACAGTGCCATGGGCTTGGAATCAGAGGGCCTTTGTGGGCATCAGGGAATGGGCTGCAAAGGCAAGATTCCTTTGGACATGAGGTCTTGCAGCTGATGGCTGTCGATAAGATCAGGGGTAGAAAGAAGACTTGGGTGAGGGGGTGCCAGCAGTTGGGGTCTCTCTAGGGTCTTAATGAGATTGAATTGAGCCCGGAGACTGAGACTCCGAATACTGGGGCAGCACCAGGGACTAGGAATTGGAGCCTGGAGACCAGATGTGCGGTTGAGACCTCTCTGAGCCAGTTTAGGATTGTAAATTAAAGCAGGACTGTGCCTCATTTCCCTCTCCTGGAAGTTTCCAATCATGACCTGAGCTCTCTGTGCAGGCCATCCACGGCTTCAGGGAGACCGAGAAGTCCCGCTGGTCTGATGCAAGCCAGGCCATCCTGCATCGGGTCCAGGAGGCTGCCTTTGGCCCTGACGAGAGCCTGCTATCCTTGGTTCACGTGTTGGACCTGGAACCCCAGGGCTACATCAAGCCCCATGTTGACAGTGTCAAGGTGGGCAGAACTCCCAGGATCTGGGTGGGCAGGAGGGCGGGTCTGAGCCTGACCCCACCCCCTCTTCTAGTTCTGTGGATCCACCATTGCTGGCCTCTCCCTGCTGTCCCCAAGTGTTATGAAGTTGGTACACACCCAGGAACCTGAGCAGTGGCTGGAACTGCTGCTGGAACCAGGCTCCCTCTATATTCTAAGGTAATGCCTTGCCCAGAAGCCCTCAGATGAGGTCAGGCGCTTCTAACACCTGTTTGTGCTCTCACAGCAGAGGAAGCAGCAACCACCACTCAGAAAAACCATAGACATGCTGGAAGAGTGGGATTTCCCTCCACCCACCCCAGTCTCTTCTTGCAGGGGTTCAGCCCGATATGACTTCTCCCACGAGATCCTTCGAGATGAAGAATCATTTTTTGGGGAGCGACATGTCCCTAGAGGCCGACGCATCTCAGTGATTTGCCGCTCCCTCCCTGAGGGAATGGGGTCAGGAAGGCCAGGAAAGCCACCCCCAGCCAGCTGACTTCTACGCCTATCCTCTGGACTTGTGAATAAAGTTGGAAAAAGAATGCTGTGGTTGTCTTCAAATTACTATCTGCCAGGGCTAGGGCCCTCAAGAGACAAGTCTTAGAACCCACATAGCCTGGAGGCTGCCAGGGTGTACCCCATCACACATACTCCTAAAGCCATTAGAACATTCCTTTTATTGCATTAATTGCTGATCCCCAGTCCCGGGTCTCTTCCTTCTCCTCTTCACCTAGACAGGTTTCTAATAAACGTTACCTGAGCCCTTCAAAGCCCAGGTTCCCTCATGCTTCTGATTCTGAGACACAGAGCTGGCCACCTTCAGCCACCACAGCCACAAGCAGCCGCTGAGAGCTGAGGCAGCTGCTGCCAGCGGTGACGGTCGTCGAGGAAGGTCACATCAGCATAGCTGGTGGGCCGGCAGCAGGGTCGACCATGGGCCCGACCCTGCCCACGCAGTCGGGCCAGCACCAGGCTGTGCTGGGTACGGGCCTCTCGGGGACAGCTGCCAGCACAGTATCGGAAGATGACCTTCTCCTCTGAGGCATAGCCCAGGCCCAGCTCAGCCACCGGCAGTGTCAGGCTCCACAGCTGGCATGGACCAGCCAGAGCTCTTGGAAGGCGGACATGGTTGTTACCTAGTGCAGGGTAGAACGGGAATATGAGACAAGAGGCCTTTAGAAGGAAGTGGGGAGTCACGAGGCACCCCTAGGAATTCTTACCCTCCTGGGGCTTCCAGTTCCCTCCAGTCTCTGCCATCTCCTCAGATGAGATCTCTTCTGCCGTTGCAGCCCCTTGAGGATCAAAGCCCCACCCGAGGCCCAGGTGCAAGGACAGGAGCAGCAGAAACACGAGAGTTAGTCTTCCTGCAGCCATTGTGACAGGGAAGTCCCAGGATGCTGAGAACCCGGTCCCCTCAATTTATTCACTGCCTGTCCTGGGGATTAAACTCACTGCCAGCACCATGGCTTAGGGAAGCCACTGGGGTTCCACCCATCTTGTCCCCACATCCTCGCCCCTAAGAATTGATGGCTTACCCACCCAGACATTCCATAGATCCATTTCCGGATGCCCCTGATTTATGAGTGCCCCACTATCGGCCAGAAACAAAGCCCAGAGCTGGCCACCAATCTGTGTCCCCACCCCACCTGCTTTTGCTGGGAAGTGCAGGGACACCAGAAGAGAGTCTCTTGTAGGTCATGCCCTAAAGTGTGGGCCATGTGGGGCCAATCAGGACCGGGAAGGGCTCATGGCAGATGGAAGAGTCAGTGGGCTTCCATCCATCTCGGATTCAGTTAGGATTAAGGCATCGCACCCTTGTCTCCGGGCCTGGTTGAGCCAGCATCAAAACAGGAAAAAGGAGTCTAGGTGATAGCCAAGGGCTGGGACTCCCCTTCTTGAAAGGCCAACCTGAAAAGCCACAGCCATAGCCAATCTGGGTTTTAGAGCATCAGAGCTCAAGGGGAAGCTGGAGCTTGCTGGATCCTATCATTCCCGAGAAGGAACAGGTTTTGCTGAGCTTTACACCCTGAGACCCAGCAGTGGATATGGGCAACATCAAACCAAGGACTTGGAGGCAAAGGAATCCAAGTGGTGCTGGACGTGGCAGTGCATGCTGCTCACTCCTGGACACCTCGGCGCTCAGGAGGCTGGGGCAGGATTGCTGCAGGCTGTAGCCGGCATAAGCTAGAGCGAGGCCATCTCCCACGTTCAAAGCCCTGGGTTCCATCCAAAGCACAGCATAAAATGACATGAGGTGCATGCCTGTCATCTCAGCATTGGGGAGGCTGAGGCAGGAGAATCACCAGTTCAAGGCCAGCCTGGGCTATGTGAGACTCTACCTCAAAAGGAAAAGAAACAAAAACAATGGCTTTCAAAACCAAAGGTCACTTGTATGCCATGCAGAATCAAGTTTGAAACAGGTCCCCTGAACACGAGGCTCTGCCCCTAACCACAAGGCCATGCATACCCTGCCTGCCCTGGGTGAATGGCACCTTAGACCCAGGTCCAAAAGGCCAGAGGAAGTGGGGTAGGATGCTCAGTGAACAAGGGCATCCCTAGGGATTAGCCCCTTTTCTCAGCCAGGGGCGGCTGAAGTGGGAGTGGGTTTCCCCCGGTGCCACTGAGAGGAAGCCCCTCCCCTTCCTCCCTTCCAGGCTGCTCAGGACCCAGTTTTCAAGGTAGCAGCCGAGGCCAAGAACCAATCAGCCAGGTCACCACCCAAGAATGTAAAGCACTCCCTGAGCAACGCCCGGCTGGCCTGGATAAAATATATCACTGGGCCTGTCGGGAGATAAGGGTGACCCCAGGAATGTCACTTGGAAATGGAAAACAGCATCCAAGTGCCAACACTAGGAATAGGTTTGGGTTCCAGTGACCATGGAAGGAAGCACCTGAGCCAAGAAATGCAACAGTGGCTGGGCTGGATGCAGCGGGTACAACTGTCATCCTAGCATCTGGGAAACCGAGTTCCTGGATAGCCTGGGCTACACAGCGACACTCTCTCTCGAAAGATAGAAGAGCCATGCCTGCCAGTGGTACATGCCTACGACCCTAGCACTGGAGAGGTGGAGGTGGGAGGGAGGATCAGGAGTTCGAGGGCAGCCTCCACTCTTAACAGTAAAGAGAGGACTGGGCACGTAGCTCACTAAAAAGCGCCAAGAAGCGAGTCTGAGTCCCGCCATTTCACCACTTGTGCTCAAGCACAGCGAATCCCCAGCTTGCACTCCTGGAGGACTGCTGGGAGCTGAGCATTCCCAGACAAGGTCCATCGTAAACCCCACACAACATCGTAAACCCCACACAACACAGGTAGGGCTAGGCGTGGGCAGGGCAGAGCTTCTCCAGGTGAAATTAACTCCTGAAGATGGCACAGGGGACATCAGCCCTGGCCATACTGAGCTCAGCGGGCAGGAAGGCTGTGTCCGCCCCAGGAGAGGGCTGGGTGGCAGTGAGGACTCGCTTGCACTCTGGGCATCTCTTTATTCACGTCACTCTTTGAGGGAGAAGTGCATCTTGTCACCAATCATCTTGCGCTCAGGGTTGAGACGCTTGAGGATCTGCGCCAGCACATTCACCGTCTGCTCGCTGCTCAGCCCTGTCTTTTTGGTCTGGAACTTTTTCAGCAGGTCCTTTGTGGTCATGGGCTTGCGGGTCAGGTAGCGGCGCACAGCGTCCTCTGTTACCTGGACATCACTGTGGGAGGTGGAGGGAAGGAGGCTCTGGTTACACAAGAGTCCCTTGTGGCCCAGTCCTGTCTTGTGGTCCCTACTCAGATCTGAACCTACCCGCTGCTGGGTGTGGACTTCCCAGACAGGCTCTGAGGGGCCGTGTCCATCCGCAGGCGCTTGGCTGCTGGAGTCTCACCTGTCCGCTTCCCTGCTGTAGAGAGGAATGTCAGGTGAGAGCAGGGGAGCAGATGGGGCACCAGGGGTACAGAAGGATGTGGGCTGCCATTGGCTCTCAGTTCCCCCAGGGACACTCACCCTGTTCCAGCTTGCTGGCTGCAGCCCGCAGGGTGGAAGAGGTGCTTGCTGCCTCTGTACTGGGAGTTCCTGGTCGACTGGGGCCCTTAGAACTCCCCCCTGATGGCTTCCGCTCCCTCTTGGGGGGGGTCTTCTTCTTCTGCAGAGATTGGGGTGTGAGTCTGTAGGCTCGGACTACCACTCCCATCCCAGCCCTGGGCTCTGCCTTACCGCCATGAAGAGTGCAGAGGAGGTCTCGCTGTCGATGTCGCTGTCCTCCGAACTGTCTGACTCATCACTGCTGTCTGCACGGGCCAGAGGAGGGTCATAAGCAGAGACCCTAGAGAGCCCATCCACCACCAGTGAGCAGGAGGATAGTTACCCTGAGACTCAAGTGCCCCATGTACCTTTCCTGCGTTTCTTCTCCTGTGGGGTGGGGACCTTCTTCTCTTCCTCCTCCTCCTTGTCTTCCTCAGGGGGCTTCTCCTCCTCGCTCTCCTCACTGCTCTCGCTCTGCTCATCCACGCCTGGGGACACAGGTATGAGAGGAGGGACTGCCAGGAGGGCTCCCACCCCCAGCTGGTCCCTGACACCTACCCTTGGGGCCATCCTCCTGCTGCAGCAGCACTTTGGGCTTGCCCTCTGTCTCATCCGGGGAGCTGCTGTGGGGCAGAGAAGGGCAAACATGAAGATGGATGACCACAGGCCTGCCACAGCCTACCACGGCCTGCCTCACACCTGCCTCACCTGGAGCCGTCTGACATGTAGTCCACCTCCTGGCCCTCAAAGTCCCCATCGTCACTGTCCTCAAAAGCCTCGTCATCTGAGCCCTTCTTCTTTTTCTTCTTCCTGCCTGCCTTGGTCAGTGGGGCCTTTTTCTTAGCTTTGGAGGCTCTGTTGCCTATGAAGGAAAAAGATGTGGGGGGATCAGACTGGATGAGCCCAGAGCGTTGTTCACAGCTAGGTGGGGGCTCCACTCCACCCCAGAGCCATGACACCAGCCCCTGCCTTGTATTACTGTGTTGTGTGGGGTTTGGGGGGGAAGGGTTCTCTATCCCTAAGGCCCAACTAATCCTTTTTTAGATTTTTTTTGGATGGGGGCACATTCAGATAAGATTTCTCTGTGTAGTCCTGGCTGTCCTGAAACTCACTCTGTAGACCTGGCTGTCCTTGAACTCAGATCAGCCTGCCCCTGCCTCCTGAGTGCTGGGATTTAAGGCATGCCCTTTATATTTTAAGATGGAGTCCAGGTAGGCAGGCAGAGCTGGCTATGAACTCTGGATCCTCTTGCCTAGGCCTGAGGTCTGGGATTGTGGCCAGCGCACCATATGAAGTAAGTCTTCATGTGTCATACCCTGACTGCACCCCGTGTTAGGCCAATTCATAGAGAAAGCAGAGGCTAGTCTGGGCACGTACCCCTCCCGTGCAGGCAGCTCAGCCTGCCACCCTCACCCCACTCCACCAGTGGGGTGACTGTCACTCAGTCACCCAGGCCTGGGACCTGCAGCAGAGCACCCTCGGAACAGTCAAACTGCTCCCCTGGAAATTCTGCTAAGGTGCCATGTGTCATGTGCTTCCCT